TGGGACTTGGACTCCCAAGACTGGGAGAAGAACTCATTGAGGGCAGCCCTGCAGAGAGAGACTTGGGGGTTACAGTGGATGAAAAACTCAACATGAGCCAACAGTGCATGCTTGCAGCCCAGAAGGTCAACTGCATCCTTGGCTGCATCAACAGAGGAGTGGCCAGCAAGGGAGGGAAGTGATTGTCCCCCCCTGCTCTGCCCTTGTGAGGCCCCACCTGGAGTACTGCATCCAGGTCTGGGGCCCTCAGCACCAGAAGAATATGGGGCTGTTAGAGCAGGTCCTGAGGAGGTCCACAAAGATGGTCAGGCCAAGAAAACTGTGGATGTTCAGCCTGGAGAAGGCTCCGGGGAGAACTCATTGCAGTCTTCCAGTATGTTCCAGTACCAGGGAGCTTATAAAAAAAGATGGAGAGAGACTTTTTACACAGGTACAAAGGACAAGGGGGAATAGTTTTGATTCTTTTGATTCTTTGATCTGGTTCTGATTTACCTGTTGTTTAAGCCTCTAGTCTGATTTTGGCCAGGATAGAGTTAATATTCTTCCTAGTAACTGGTATGATGTGTTTAGATTTAGGATGAGAACAATGCTGATAACAGAGCGATGTTTCAGTAGTTGCAAAGCAGTGCTCACCCAGAGCCAAGGAGTCTCCAGCTCCTCATACTGCCCTGCCAGCGAGGGGCTGAGGGTGCTCAGGGAACTGGGAGGGAACAGAACCAGGACAGCTGGCCCAGATGGACCAAAGGGATGTCCCACACCATGTGGTGTTATGCTGAACAATGAAACTCGGAGGAGTTGTCCAGGCAGGGAGGAAGGAGGTGCTGCTGCTCAGAGATGGGATGGCCATCAGTTGGTAGGTGGTGAGCAATTGCATTTGTTTTGTGTATTATTTTTAATAATAATAATACCCCTTATTATTATTGTTATTATTACTATTTTTGCTTCATTTTCCATCCTATTAAGCTGTCTTTATCTCAACCCACGACTTTTAACTTTTTTTCTGATTCTATTCCCCATCCCAGTGTGGGGGAGTGAGTGAACAGCTGTGTGGTGCCTAGCTGCCTGCTGGGTTAAACCACAACAAACACTAACCAGTGTTGGACCAATACAGTTTACTAGTCTGGAAAAAACATTTTGGGGTAGATTTTGAAAAGTTTATGTAGATGCAAGAATCTTTCCAATATAAGGAAAAAAAAAAAAAAAAAAACTAGGGGGATCAAAGGAAGCTGGATGCCTAAGCAGCTGGGGATTTTAAAATCCCACTTTCTGCATTTTTAGATATTGAGTAGCTTTGAAAAGCACTACTGAGATTTATGAATGTCTTTGAGGACTTTATCTATGGAGATACTTTGGATATCTTTGGATATTCTTCAAATTCCCAATGAGTCTGAAGCACCTCTGGTGCTCTCTGACAGCTGAGGAGAGAGCGGAGGGGGCTGTGAGCTGCACAGGCACTTCTCAGTAAAGATGTTTGATAGAAATACTGCTCCAGGGTTATGGTGAAGAAGTGGAACGAGTGGCTTGAGACATTTTAAAGGTGTTTCTTGGTAATGGGACAGGGGTGAGAAAGTGCAAAACCTGCAAAGAAGGGAGGCTTCCAAACACTGAGTTCTCTATCAACGTCAAGCCAACAACTTCAGGATAAATTAGTAGATTGTTTTAACCAGTCTAATCAAGCACAGTGGTCATGCAGCACCAAGCCTGCTCAGATGTATCTGAGCTTTCAGCTCTGTCACACCTCTGCATTTCCAAGGGAACTGTCTCCCATGAAACCTCATATTGCAGAGGATGGAGCAGCCCCAGCTGGTTAAAAATGCTGTGTTCCCCCACGCAGATTTTCCTCTCATCCTTCTTTGTTTTGCTTTTTCCTTTAATGAAATATTTTCTCTTAATGCCATTTAAGCTAGAGAAATCTGGTGGCTGCTCCTGTGTGCTGTAAATCTGCTGCCCTCCCAGCACAGCACAGTACTCCCCACCCTCAACAGCAACAGAAACCAAGAAAGAAACTGGGAAGGAGATGGGAATAAGGTCTGAACTGCACTAAAAGTTTTAAGTTTTTGAAAATCTTGTTGGATAGTCCTTTTTTTTCCAGCACAGGTTACCTGCCATTAAAACTGGAAAGGAATTTCTTCTTTTCTCTAACACGGAGAAGTGATTTTTAGTCTCACTGAAATATAATCCAGGTAACTGCCCAGTTCAAGACATACATGCTTGCTCCCAGTACTGTAGATCATGAGTTACTGCTGTGTTTAACTTTTTAGGCAAAGAAACAGAAAAAATATTTCCCACAATAAGTAGAAACAGAAGACTGGGCTTCCAGGCAAAACAAAACAAAACCAAACAGAACAAAACTGAACCAAACCAAAAAAAGCATGCAACCAAAACAGGCAAATAGAAACATCCCATGCAATCACACAGTGCCTCTTGCTTTATCACCGTGTTTCAATGTCATCTTATTCTGAATGACACAATCACCAGTTCACATCAATAATGCAAAAATTAGGTAGCTGTGACTCTTCACATTCATTGACCTGCAGTCCAACGTTATGGAAGAACCAAGGGGAGGGTTGTGTTATTCAAAGCACTTCATAGCTGCAAAAGCCTGATCTGGAATAGTGGGCTCATTCGATAGAATAGCTCATTGTGGAGTACAGGAAGCAAACCACATTTGGAAAAGAAAACCCAGATCCAAACAATCCTAAATCTTTCTCAAGACTTATGGAATTGTGATATTGAAAAAACAAAGCAAAACAAAAGGTCTGAGGAGCCTTGAGTCAGTCATTATGTAGGACAAGGAGAAGAATAATAGTGACAGTAAGGCTAGAAGGGGTCATGGTGGTCATCTCTGCTGACCTCGTGCATACCGTACACCAGTGTTTCATCACTGCTTCCCACACCAAGCCCATGGATCACGGCTGAGCATCTTTCACATGGCACAGAACTGTCTTAAACTATAAGCTTTGGGTGAAGATGGGTAACACTTCACTGCCCTCTGTAAGGGGATGTTAGAAAGCGGGCTTGGCTTTGTCCTGGAATACCTCTCATCTCAATGCTCTTGTGTCCAAATTATAGCACAAAAATCAGCACAATTCCTGCCTCAGAGGAAAGACGGTGGACCTTGGACTTGCTCAGAAAGAATACTGTCGGATCCTCTCTCTTAGACAAGAGAAAAGAGAACAAAATAGACCAGACATAAAGACTCAAGTATGTTATGCAGCCTAGCCCTGAGGAGTTAATCCACCTCATGGAGTGTGTGCGAATGCACAGGAGAAGGGAGCGAGGTCCCCATCCGGCTTGTGCTGAGAGCCAGCAGCTAAAGGCACCCTGCCATGGCTATGTGAGTCGCTGTCCATATGGAGGGTGGAACAAGAGCTTCTTGGCAAGTATGCCAACTGTTTGGTAAACCTTTGCTCTCCTCCTTTTTCTGAAAAACATCCAGGCCTCACCAGGGCAATAAGGAGTGTTGTAAACAAAGTCCAAAGACTCCTAATCACCAAACAAGGCATGAGTCAGGATGCATGCATACTCTGCCCCAAGGGTAGGTCTAGCTAGCAGCATAGCTCGCTGATTTGGCCTTCTTACTAATTAGCCTTGTTGTGAAAAACCTTTGTCTTATTTATGGTGTAAATATGTTCAGATTCACCTTCCAGATACTAGTGAATTTGGGGTTGCACGTAGGTAGTATAATACAAGCCGTGCCTCCAAAATCTATACCCATACCTGCACTGAGAGCAGTGAAAAAAAAAAAAAAAAAAAAAAAAGGTGTTAATGTGAATTAAAGACCTCCGAGGCAAAATGTGGTTTGGCTGGCAGGATGCATGAGGTGCACGGAGCCTGATTGCCATCTGACATGGCTTCTGCTTCTTGACTGCAAGCTGGGCAGCTGAAGCCTCTCGTTAGCACCTCAACATGCTGTGATCTGCAGGAATGGCCAGATGCCTACAGCACCAGTTGGCTCAAACAGATAGTAAATAGCAGCAAGGGCTGAGAATCAGCCCCACTGGGGACAGCTGTTGTGGGTCAGATGGGGAGGAAGCTTTGCCACGTGTTGTTTTTTCCTCTTGGGTTTAGTCAAGCCGAATGCACTTCAGAGATTATCATTGATTTTCACAATAATACCAAATTCAAAACTCATGAACTACGCCATCCCCAAATTGATATTAAAATATTTCTTTATTCAATACTATAATAAACGTTGGAAGGTTTTTATATGCCTTCTGCTTTCTGAACCTTTGGGGAACATTCAGTACATTCATCAAGCTAGAAATATGCTTTTTCTCCCAAATTACTAGATCTTCCCCAAATCACCTATTTCCAGAAATGAGGGATTTCAGTGAAGCACTAATGAGAAGCCCAAAACAAGACAGCACTTCTGATGCACTGTGTTTGCTCAGGTAATGGCAGATTTTTTTTTTTCCTTCTATTTTGCTATGTATGAAACCATAGCATATACCAGTTCCAAAAACTACCACACAAATACTGCGTGTTACATAAGTAATTTGAATGCTTGGCATTCATAAATGGCAATTCAACTTTCTAAAGCTGATCATTAAAAACTAAAAGCTATTTCCAAAAGTCCGGTCATAATTGGTGTAGCCAATGACACCCACAAATCCAGAGTCAGAGTTTAAATTTGAACTCCGCAGTCTTTAATTTGCAGAAACACACTAAGGCTCTGCATATCATAGAATCATAGAATCATAGAATATCCTGAGTTGGAAGGGACCCTTAAGGATCATCAAGTCCAACTCTTGACACCGCACAGGTCTACCCAAGTTCAGACCATGTGACTAAGTGCACAGACCAATCTCTTCTTAAATTCAGTCAGGCTCGGTGCAGTGACCACTTCCCTGGGGAGCCTGTTCCAGTGTGCAACCACTCTCTCTGTGAAGAACCCTTTCCTGATGTCCAGCCTAAACTTCCCCTGCCTCAGCTTAACTCCATTCCCGCGGGTCCTGTCGCTGGTGTTAATGGAGAAAAGGTCTCCTGCCTCTCGACACCCCCTTACGAGGAAGTTGTAGACTGCGATGCTACCTTGGGAGATGAAGATCCATCTGAAAAAGTCTATAAATTTGAAAAATAACTCTCATAAAAACTAATGTGATTTATGTAAGCACATTAAGGGGAAAATACCCTGAACAGTTGGTTTAAGTGCTTAGACTTCCTAAACTTAATATTTCCATATGGTTACATTGTAATTTTAGATTTTTAGTGCCTTCTTACCCTTCTCTGTTAAATTTGAGAAACAAATCAAGGTACCAGCACAAAGAAATTAAGATTAAGGAACAAAAATGCCTGCAATGAGTATTTGATTGTTCCCACATGAAGCAATGGTTCTTTCTACAAATTTCCTTAATCCTCTAGGAAACGTTATTCCAATTGTCATAGGATTGTTTGTGTGATGTTGTGAACAGATGATTATAATAGTCTTTTGATATAAATAGAAAGCAGAAAAATAAAGGGAGAAGTGAGCACCCAACTTTTTTTTTTTTTTTTTTTTTTAATGCAGGATTATATTAGCTAAGTAAAGATTAGTTTCAAAATACCAGACATGGTTTGAATTCTTGCTGAATTATTTCACGCCTCTAACACTTTCATATTTATCCCACAAGATTTTCACTTTTGCCTAGTCCTTGGCGGCTTTGCAGTGAACCACCCCTAAACGTGTTTCATCTGTAGCACCAGAACTGGCGTATGTTCCAATTTTTAACTAAAGGTAACAAAAATCTTAAAAATGATTACTTAAGCCACCACAAACTGTTGTGTGAACCTTCTCAAATTGATCAAAGCCGACGTTATATCAATTTAACTTAGGTTGATCCCTATCGACTAAAACTAAATGGATATAAGTCACTCACGCAACAGCACAGAGGGATCTGTGTCCATGTGTCTGTTTGTGGTCTCAGCTCACTGACTATCATATTGTGCAGTAAAAGGTAAGAAAATGCAATTCTTTGTGAGGAACGTCCACTCTGCTGTGATCCATTCTTGCCTTCCCAGCCCCAAAACACAAAACCAACTAACCAAAAAAAAAAAAAACAAAACAAACATGGTATGAGCATGTGAGGATGCAACACTGTAAACAGTACAATCTGTCTTCATGGTATGTATGGGACCAGTTTACAGGTAAAGATGAAGTTGATGAGAAATAGCACAGTATGTCTAGGCTGCAGCTCAGTTCTCTAGCATAGCCTGGACATCTGTGGGGATGCAAATGTACGTAAAAAAGAAAAGAAAAAAAAAACTTCTTCAGAAGTGCCACTCATTTTTCTGAAACTGGCTGCATGTTCAAGTTCCTACTCAGCCTTGCCTGCTGCCCAGGTGAGCAAGCAACATGTAATTATGTAAAAGAGATAATATTTATCACGAGAGGTTAAGCAGTGTTAAGTTGTTGGTCAAGAGAAAAGATTTGCATTACTCCTTTTCTTCAGACTTAATAAAACACTACGGAGTGATGGTTAACACGCTGACATTTAAATACACATGATTTAAAATAAAGGGAACAAGCCCAGCTACATGAATCCTTTGTCTTTTGTTGCAGAGATTGTGTAATTCTTTGGTTGTCTTCTTCAACTGGAAGAGAAAAAAAAAAATCAAGGATGGATTCATTGCTCTCTGCTGCACAATTTGACAGATGTTACTATTTATTAAAAAAAAAAAAAAAAAAACATCTGGCAGCTGTTTGGCTGGACTAATGGCTGAGCCCAGTGTGATTAGATACAGCTGATGCTAGAAAACCAAGTTGGATGGAAGGAGCTGAAGTCTGTGATGCTGCAGGGGATGTTAATATCAGAAAAAATGGAAAACAGATATGGAACAAAAATATCAAGATTAATAGTTACATAATCTAGTTGATTTTTCCAGGAGGACCCTAAATATTAAGGTGTTTTCTCATTAGTGCCGCGTGTATGTCATTAAGAAAGTACAATCAATGAAAAATGCAGGCTGTGGACAACCTGCATACTGAAATCCAGCTACATTTCCCTAACCAAATTTTCATCGAACCACACCACTGCATAGTCCCAGGACTTAAGACCGAGGCATATATAGGAAAATATATAGGAATTAAAGTCATGCATTTGCTTGAGATGTTTCTACGTCTCATCTGTGTGAGGTGTAGAGGGAAACGCCAAGGAAATAATTCAAAGCTGGAAAAGTGACTTAGCTGGAGAGTCAGATCCATCTTGCCTAAATACAAAGATCTTTAATACAGGCAGTGACACGGGAGGTAGTCACCACAGGCTTCTTTTGCTGTTGCTTGAGAGAAATAGAAATGCTGTGAGGGACATTTCTCTAGTCCGTTTTGAACAGCCACTTTAGGATGAGAGGAACTTCATTCTGGAAAAACTCATTTCTCTGTGCTGCCTGCAAAGGGAGGCATTGGTGAGCAGCGCTCTGTAGCCATCTGTTGGGAAGAAGTTCACATCTGGCCAGAGATATCCCACCTGAAAAAGCTCAGTGTTCTTAATTCATTACAAGATCACAGTTTTAACTTGATTATCGTACCGAGGACCTTCAAATGAAGACATTTGTTTCCAGTGGGCATTGTTGTCCAGCAGAGATAAATAAGAATTAACAGCTGGAGGCTGAAACCACCAGATACATCCAGGTGGTGTTTTATTTATTTATTTATTTTTTTATTTTTGTACAGTGATTGAGAAAGCCTGTTGTCACAGAATAGCAGAAGAAGAGAGCAATTCTTTGTCTCTTTGAGCCTTTGATGTCTTTTTAAACACCTGTTCAGACCAAAACTCTTAGCTTGACTTAATAAGGGCTAACTGGGTAAACTCCTGTGGACTGTGCTGCTCCAGAAATCAGATCAGATGCCTCGTCCAGACCCTTTGGCTGATCCCTGTCTTAAATTTATTTGAAAGGTTGCATACTGAAAAAAATCTCTTGCACTCTGCTGGCAAACAAACACACACAAAGAAAACAACAACAACAAAAATCCAAAACAAACAAACAAAAACAACCAGCCAGCCAGCCAGCCAACAAACAAACAAACAAAAAGAACACATGAAAATGTAGCAGGCTCTTTTGTCTACTAAAAAAAAAAAAAAAAAGAGAGATGTGATCCTTTTTGACCATAACTATACCATACATTACTGTGGGAGTGATGACAAGGATTTGGTCTGCACAGTTAGGAACAACTTCACAAGCAGAAAGGGACAAGTCTTCTGAGGTTCCACCCCAGGAAACTATGCCTACTTAGTCACATCTCCTTTAAGTGACAAATGATGATTTGAGGGACTGAGCATGTTCAGCCCCCTTCAGCTGGTATCAGTGTCCATAACCATCTAGTTTCTGAGATAAAGAGAGATATTTACCCTGGGCTATGTGCTTCAGGCTCAGTTCTGATCTTAGAGGATTCAGTATAATACGTACTGCCTCACGTGGACTGGTGCCAGCCAGCTCCTCTGCCTCCTGTACAGAGCAGAATTACTGCAGCAGGCAGCTGGGAGACAGAGCATGAGCTTCACTCAGTCCTGGTGTCTTTATCCATGGCGGTTCCTGCTTTGCTCATTTTTCTTGGTCTAAAACAAGAAAATATTTTGACTGAAGCTGCATCTCTCTTCTCTGAGCCGTGAGAGCATCCCATAAGGGTAATATCTCAGCTCCTAATGCAACTGCTCCTTAGGGAGGAGTGGCTGGAGTATAAGGCAGCTGCAGCAGCAAAAGTGTGTTCATATTGGGTAAGTCCTTGATCCATGATGGGTACTGCTAGGAACAATCTCAGTATAAGAGATACAGATACTGCCCAGTGATGGCATTACCTAGGCTTTGATACAGCACAAAGAAGGGAACAGAAAACAGCATTTTAAATGCGACAGGATGGGTGTATTTCTGAAGTCAAGAGGGGAAGGATATGTCAGTGAGAAGATCTATGGAGATACAATGGGAAAAAAAAGGGATTGTAACAGCCTAGCATTTTTTTCTTAGACAATTGCTTATTTTCAGCTTCTTGCTTACGATCTGCATTCTTATGATGTGTACTTTACACGGGGCTGATACTTGGATGGAAATTTTAATAATGTGGATGGTGGAAAAAAGGAAAGACAAAATGAGTGTCCTACAAAAGAAAAGATTAAGGTAGATCCCTGCCTGACACAGGTCATCATAGACCTATGGAAGTTGCTAAAAAGATGATTTATGCTGAGGATGTAGCCCCAGTGTCTGAAGTAATTGACAGATCAGGTCTCAATGCTCAGGCACATGGTGTGGGAGCAGCCTCCACCAGGGAAAAATGCCCTCCTGGAGTAATGGTGGAAGAGTGGGGAAATTGCAAAGGCATTGCAGCCTTGTATGAATTCGTGAAGCTTACTTTGAAGCACATCCTTTTCTAATTAGCAGCGGTGAACCTGGAATGTCAGCCAGTACTGCAGCAGGGTGTTTTTTTTTCCCCCTCATATCTTGATCAAAACTTCTTTTGACTTCTCAAACTGCTCAAAGTACAATTGAAGGAAGGATAAAGACAGGAAAGATAAAAAGTACATTCAGTGACACAAACTAGCAGTAACGAAGGAAACTGAACAGTAGCTCATGTTTTGCTTTAAAAACACTACTGCGCCATACAAGCCAGCCTTATTTATTTATTTTAAAATGAAAATCTCTCTTCTGCCAAAAATGAAGTATTTAGAAACTACATTCTGGAACAATAAATCTGTGGGAAACTTTAATGTTGCATAGAATGTGCTTGATTATGTGAACATATTAGTAATAACAGATCTCAACAGCACTTCCTATGAGGAGCAATTTCCTATTTGCAGCTTTCTTCAGTCTGGTCATAACCTCAGTGCTCTCGTAGGAGTAAATGAGACATCCCATCAGAGACCATCAGAGGTTAGGGAAGGGTCCTGGAAGGCGGCCTTTGCTGGGACCAGCAGAATCCATTCCAGGCTGTGTAATGTCTTCTTACTCTTTTCAGAGCAATTAAACGGATGCCACCTGCTAGTGATGTACATCCTTAAGCATAAGCAACATCAAGACACATTTCCTTATATAAGGAGATTTAAGTCTGATTCATTAAGATCAGTTGTTTACTCATACAGAAAACCATATTATAAAATTTTCCCTGGGAATGCATCAAGCCCCATATGTAAATATCAGCGAGTTTGCTCTCCCTTCTCCAGTAGAGGCTTTATCTTTTGCATCAATTTGTCTTTTTACATACTGGTTAATAACACTATTTTAATTTACAGCCTGAATGTATTCACCTGCAGCTAATACTCATTGCTCCTTTAGCTGCTATGCATTCCTCACTTCCCTGACATTTACTTCCCAATTAATCGACAGCAATCGGATTCTCCCTCAGCTTTCATTTTGCTAGGCTGAGCAAATCTCATTTGCCCATTTCACGGCTTCATCCGGCTGGCGGCTTAGAGTCCTCTTGTATACCAGAATCTTCCCCCTCCTTAATTGGAAGCAAACAAAGAGCTTCTATCTCAAGGCAGATGTTTTTCTTCATTCCTAAGGGCGTGTTTCACTTCACTTCACTTGGTCTAAACGGCATATTGTCAGCTTCCTCAGATTTGCTCCTTTCCAGCCATGAAGCAACCCCCAACCTAGATAAGCCTTCCTACATGCCCAAGAGCCGTGCATTGGCTGGCTAACTCCTCTTTCTCAACAGTGGGCTTTTTCTTTAGCTTACCTTGGATGACAAGACCCTCTCCAGTTGCATGAAGATGTGCTGTGCAGCCATTTTTCTGAGCCCTGACTGCAAGCCCTGGATCAGCTGGGAGCTGAAGGTGAGCACTTCGCAAGAGGCCAAACAGGAGAGAGGGAGACAGCTGGGGACAGTGTGAAGGCATGATACCCTTGGATGAAGCTTATTTTGAGCCACAAGTTTCTTTAGAATGCAGGATGGGCTTTCTTGCCTTATCTTCACAAGAAGCTATTTTGAGTCCACTTTTACACAAAGCACCAATGATTTGGCTCTGTCTATAACTTCTGATAGCTCCTGCTCAGTGTGCATGCACTTTGGCTTATCAATCTCATTCCACCCTTAGCTTCTAGCAGAACTACCTGAAGTCCAAGTAGTACCACTCCACCTGCTTCATCAAAGATAAATACAATCTACTACAAGAATCTTCTCTTGAGAATCACTTTCTGTCTCAAATGCACTTTCAAATTATTCTTGTTTAATCTTCCTCTGGTAAATACAGGTTGCTTTTAATCCCATCTTTCTATTTATCTCCAGAACTTAAATTGATTCCTTCTGAATTTGTTCTATAGCATGCTAGTTTAAGCTTAGGTTAACTGCCCTCTCATTTTCTAAATAACTGTCTGTTCAACTTCTTAGATGTAGATTATGATCTGAGTACAGCATCTATCTGGTTTACAGAAAGACCATCTTCAAGTCTTTGAGTCTTTTGTCCAGTTCTCGTCTCTAATCATTAAAGCAATTCCTTAGTTTACCCAAGTTTGGACTTCTGAAATCAGGGAAATGTAGCTATGGTCTTAATCATGTTTATCTTGCCACACAACTTAAGAAGAAAAAAGTCATGATCAGTTACTCCCCAGTCATCTTTGGTGGCAAGTTCTTCTATAATAGCTGATTCGTTACTATCAGATCTAAAGCAGCATTATGGATGACTTACTGCTGCTTTAGTGAATAATTCTACTAGCTTTTGCTCACAGAAGTAATGCAACCTAAATATTTTCCAGTCTACATCGGGGAAACTTAATTTTTCTAGACCATTACAATTGCTAGATTTTTATTTTTATTTTTTTTCTCCAGTAACATCTCAGATACTCTGCTCGATGTGGATTTCCAGCCCTGTGGGTTAATGGGACTACTACCCCAGCACAATGCTCACCTGCCTTCCCTGGAGCAATCCTGTCCACACCATTTAGCCCTGCTCAGCTTGTCCCACCAGATGTAATGGATTGTGCAATGTTATTTCAACCTTTACACCTGGCAAGAAAAAAAAAAAATCTTTTCTATTCTGTGCAGCTTACGATACTGCATTTCTGCCATTGAACATAAATGTCATTCCCCAGTAAATTAAGCTGTGACTAACATCTGTCAGGTGTGGTTCATTGTTCTTCTCATCATTTACCCAGCGGATGACTTCCACATGCAATTAGTGTGCTGTTTTGTTAGCGTGTTTAATTTAATATAGCATGTAGAGCCCTTCGTATGTGTGCGCTGTCCTTTGGGGAAAACATTTGTCTCAAAAACTGCACCATGGCACAGCTTGTGTGCTTCTGTGACATTCAAGAGAGATGAAACAGTTAGCTGGTACTGATCAGACAAGCACATAAGCCTGACTTTGAAAAGGTTGTTCTGCGTTACTATATTTATTTTGTTTGAGCCACAGAGAAATGCTTCCTTGTCAAAATGTTTCTTTAACAGGCTTTGCTTGCCATCCTTCTTGTGGTCTGGAGACTCAAACACAAGTCTAATAGACACTTCAACCTCATCAACATTAGTTTTTTGCCTCTAAGGCTAATCGCACCTTCCGGTTTATTCCTGCTTATCCTGGGGAACAACTGAAATGAAATAAAATGTAACGATGCTAATAATGGCACAATCAGTTAAGGAACAAGTTTTTAAGTCGTTGCTTGGGAAAAGCTGAAGATTTGCAGCTGAAGTGGCTGGGAGTAGACAGTACTTGAGGCACAACAGGATCAAGATGCACAAAGATAAATCAGGTGAATTTTACTGTCGTGCCTTTTATGTAGGCGATACCTGCACTGCCTAGAATGGTCACTTATATTGGGGAGTTTGTGCATGTTACAGGTGTACAAAACACCCCAAAAGTATACTGTGTCTGTCCCTCTTTACCATATGGTTACTTATATTTACCCTCTTTTTATGTACTTTTGTCGTTTGTTTGTTTTGCAGTAAATTGCTTTTGGCCAATGAATGTTTCTACATGAATTTAACTTCCTGTATCCTGAGAGATGTATTATAGCTTTATCTATTTTAATATCCTCACTGTGTTTTATTCCTATCTCATGTTTATTATTCCTCTCAGGCTTTATATTGTCCTTGTAGGAAAAAAAAAAAAAAAATCATTTATCTAAGAGTATAAAAGCAAAGCAGTATTTCATTGCTGGGATTTTTTTTTTTTTTTATGTGAGTTTGCTAAGGGCTTGGCTTGATCTCCAGACTTGCTGTGTATTTCTGCAAATCAAGCTTTTGGAATTTACTATGTGTTTTTATGTGCTACAGCATTGAAATGTTTTTCTGCCTTTCCCAGATATTTATTGAGAGCAAGTTCTGCCATATCACAACTGCCACCCATGGCGGATGCTCCCATGTCCAGCACTAATGAGTCCTGGAGGGTAAAAACATGTCACTGTGTAATTGTTTGGCATCCAAGGGAATCCTGCGCTGATGTAGAGCTCTCTCAGACACAGACCTGCATCTAGGTGCTGTGAAGCAGATGCTGAGAGCACTGGCCATAAGTTCTGTCCCACCGAGCTCTTCCATCTCCTTGCCATACAAGTTCCAATAGCAACCAGAGGAAGATGCTGCATGCTTTTTTTTGTTTGTTTGTTTTTTTCCTCTTTGAATTTTAAAAGACCATAACACCAGAGTCAGATTCCAGACACTGTGGAGACTGAGAACCTGATCTAAATGCCTATTTCAAGCCTCTGACCAGTTCTCAGGCTTTGGATCAGAGAACACCACTGCAGAGTTCTGTGAAATCTGAAGAGATAGGACAGCAGTTCAATGTTTAGTTTGCAACATAAATAAGTAAGTAAATAAGGCAAGATGACCTAACTGGCTGAGATCAAACCATCTATCAAATATGGCAAAGTTAATTGCTGTCAGATACCTTTATAAAGTTCACATTCTTGTTTTCACTACTTATTACATTGTTCTAATGAAGACATTTATGTAAAGTAACTGCAGTGCCTCTTGTGCATCTAAATAAAGAATATTGTTCATCTTTTCAGCAGAAATACCATATATGTAGATGACCTGTCTCTCAGAACAGAGACAGAGTTCAGTTGTGGCTTATAATCCTAGTTTCACAGTTACAAAGTTTTTTGTTTTTTTTTTTTAAGAAATATCTAATCTTCACAGCCAGCTATAGCAGTCAATAGGTGTCTCTGTAAAATACATAAAAAACACGTATGATCAACTGCGATAAGAAGACAGATTTCCCAGTAAATCCATCTGCATGGAGTTTGGCCTTGGAACGGGGACAGCTTTTATATCCCTCTGGCAGAGCCAGCAGTCGCTCCCGTGATGCTGGCTATGACGGCGCGCAGCCATTTCAGTGTGCACGAACACCTTGGGTCTCACTCAGCCCAAGTACTGGGGGATCTGGGAATGGGGCTTCTGTTGGCCACGCTCTCATCCATGCCTCCTCTTTCCCCCTGCAGTAGGACGGTGATAGTGTTTAGCTTCCCCACAAGTCTTTTGGAGCAAGTCAGCCATTGCTGAACGACAATTTATTTACATAGGCGAGGAGAAACAGCTTCTTGGCAACTGCGTACACAGCAAATGCTGAATTTCTATTTTAACTTCTACTTCTTGGCCTAGCCGTGATGGCAGTTGGCTTGTTTGGAGGATGGCAAGTTACCTACTGAAAAGCTAGCAAATGCAGGGAGGGCAAACGCCAGCCCAAATCTGCTCTCTCCCCTTGGGGTGCCTATCCTTAACATCTTGCTGAAGTACTTGACGCTGGTTTTGGCCCCAAAGAGCTTTCAGAATAATCTAAAGGATTTCTTTGTAAATTGCAAACCTGGAGATAAAATAGAAATGAAAAGCTGGACAATCCAGAGAAATAAGGGAGTGGAAATCAGTCTGTGAGGCTGAAACCTGCACGGACTTTGAGCACCCAGAGGATAGGTGCCTAAAACAGGCATTGCGCCATTAAATAGTTTAACCAGACACTTTATCAGTTGCAACTATCTGTCTGGGGGGTTCTTTAATGATGCTTTTTAATTCAGCAGCGTTTTATAGTAACCTTAAAAACGTCAGATGCTGGACGCGAAGAAGGCATTATTTACTACGTGCTTTTTTTTTTTTTTTTTTTTTTTTTTAATCATCATTAATGACGCAAAACGTGCTCTCCCCACGGGAAAACACCGAATTTCTTTCAGCTTTCTCTCCTGCGCTCAGCGCCGGGGATCCGCGCGGGCGCAATTTTCAGACAGGAGAGCTTTTGGGGCGCGGAAGGGAAAACGAGGAGGGAAAAAGCATTTCGGGGGGGGGGGGGGGCGACGCAGGGCGGTGTCAGGAGCAGGTATTTCGCCTCGGTGGATGGAGCGGGGGTGAAGTTTGGGCTAGCGGCCGGCGGGGACGGACTGTGCGCGCACGTCGTCTCCTGTGCGCATCTCGTCTCCTGCGCCTCCTGCACCGCGCATCAGCCGCGCAGCACCGCGGAGAGCCGCGGAAAGGGGCGGAGGGGGGCAGAAGGGGGCGGCTCCGCCTTTGCCCGACTCCGAGGAGGAGCCGCCGGGGGCCCCGGCTCTTTCCACGTGGCTGGGGGCGCGCTATATGAGCGGGCAGGAAGCCCTGCTGGGGAGGGAAGGGGAGGGACGGGGGAGCGTAGGCTGCAGCAGCTCGGCGAGGAGCCGGCAGCGATCGGTTCGCCCTTCCCTGGCCATGGGGTTTGGCCGCCAGCCGGCCCCCAGCGCCCCGCCGTGAGTACCGGGCTCCCTCCTCTTCCTTCTCGACCTCCTCCTTCCCCGCTTACCTGCAAGTCCTCCCGCTCCCTCTGCTGCTCCTCGTTCGCCTAAGTTGGTTGTTATTATTATTTATTTTGGGGGAAGAGGGTGGCGACGTTATTTTGCTCATCTGGACGCAGAGGGTGGCCCCGCCGGAGCCCGCAGCATCCTCCGCCGGCCGCTCCGGAGCGGGGCGGCTGCGCCCTATCCCGCCGGGCTGCTCCCCCAAAAATCCCCGGAGAGGGGCAAAGGTGGGCTGGGGGGCACGGAGAGGCTCCGGGCAGCCCCCTTCCGTGGCTGGGTGGCTGGGAAGAAGCCTAACGGAGTCCCACGCCCCGCTGTTTGTATGGATTCATTTCTTTGCTTATTTTTTTTTTTTTTTTTTCACTTGGGTGGGCTGTGCGGCGAGGGAGGGAAGGCAGTGTTGCTCCGTTAGGGGAAAGCAGGCAGGCTGCCTGAGGTACCAGCACATCCTTACTCGCAGAATGAATTTCCAGCGGAGTATAAATAACTATCTCCGAGTTTGTTTGTTTGTTAGGTGTGTTGATGTTGTGCCGGAGGTGTCTCAGTAGCAAACATGCAACCTTAGTCCTTGTAATGATTGATTTTAGTTTGGGCAGAAATTGAAAACAAACGTTTAAAAAATGCCTGGATGCATATTTACTCCTTTGAGACATGCAGGATTTTTCAACTCTTTGTAAAGGTTGAGGGTGTATGTGTCCAATACACAGAAATAACTCTTTCATATAATTGTAAGTCTAAATTATATATTTGCCTGCTGGGCACACATGTTAAAGGAAAAACCTCCCTAATTATGGATCTTTCAGAGAGATTGGAAGGGTGACAAAGCCCTTGTAATCTTTTGGGTCAATTTTCATAAGCTCCAAAAGCTCTTTTTGAAAAGGAAATTAAACTTCAATGTGGAAAAGAGACAGGAAATTCGAGGATATGAAGAAGAAACTTCTCCTTTTGCTCTGATCCCATCCCCGGGAGTTCCTTTACACTGGTGTTTTTTGGTGACAGAAGGGAAAATGAAGAGCTAGCCACCTCTAAGCAGTCTTCCTGCCACTTGGCAGTTGAGAAGATATTCAATTAGCAGCAGCACGCTCCTCCTGGGGGTTATTGACATGGCTGTAGCTGGAGGGGTGGCTGTGGGAAGCATCTGCTTTGAAATACTTGTATCTCTACTCTTGGTGTCCCATGCGGTTCATGCCTGCCGCGGCCTTCTGCAGCTGGTATGTTCACTCCTCCTCAATTTTCAGGGCTTTGTCCAAAGCCTGTGTGTTGCAGGAAGCACGGCCGAAAGCACGACAGACACCAGTAGAGTCAGATCATGCTCCATTTTATTGCCTGAATAGCCTAACTTTTATAGTGAACTTAACAGGGGAG